ATGTAAACTGTCATTGTTATGTGCCACTAGTACTCTAAGGGCGTTCTTAGATGTGACTTCTGCACAAACATGGTTATTACAATCATTCAACTACACAAGTACGTTATGCTACGAGTTTTCAGGGTTAATATTACAGGATATATATATACTATATATAATATATTTATATATATATAATTAATATATATACTTAATTTCGACATTGCTTGATTTTTTGTGCAGTTTGAGAATAATAGACATAAATCGCTAAGGAAAACATTGAAAATAAAACAGTCATTCATCCGTGTTATCAGAATCGCAGCCTATGTACCACACGAGCCATGAGATAAGGTCAGCCTCGAGCGGTTTTGTGAGAAATCATGTTTTTATATGTTTATATGAATTATGAACGTAAAATGTGAGTAATGAAACAAAAAGATATTAAATTGCTTATTGAAATGACACTTTACAAAAACGTTGTATAATAGAGTCGTTGTAGTGCGGGGCTCAGCGTACGCTGTAAATTTCAAAATTCTTAGTTCTATAAGCAATATTTAAAAAAGCAACGTATTAGACATTCAGCGACCCATTTATTTCACATGACCAGGGACAGTTATGAATAATTTTAAAATTATTATCATTTATTTTTGAAATCTTTAATCTAATAAACCGCTGAAAGACAGAAATCTAAGTGTTCTTATTAGTTCTGTATAATTGTTAATCTATACAGAACTAATAAAAACATCTGCATCTACATCTGGTAAATGCATCATACCTCATAAACCCGAGTAAAACAGAGCCCACAAGCAGCACCTGTTCTAAAGCACAACGCATGTATTAACATTCGCCATCTTACCACATCATCATTTTAAATGGAATTGGAGTTACCGCTACACGACACCGCGCCTTCGCCAACAAAGACGTTTAAGCGAACATGGCATACTTATGTGTACACGTCCTCGAAATATTTTAAAATTTATATGATACACAGGCATCCTCACGATTCATATTTTCAACGAATAAAGCATGGAGACCGAAAGGTACGTCAAATTGCAACCAATATTTCAATTTAATTGATGAAATTAGATTGCTCGTATACTGCGAAATTTAAAGCCGGTATCCTGCTCTGGAGCCACGGTTTCAAAAACTAAAATATTAAACGTTGGTTATAATTAATTTAAGAAATTATATTATTCTATTTATGCTTACTAATCTGTACTTCTAAAAAATGGTAAAGTTACTTTATAGAAAGGAGTTTTATGTAACTTTTATTATTTGTAATTGTTTTCTTTATTTAATATACTCTTTCGGATCCTGCATTTCAAATTGTAAGTAAAAAAAATATATTTTCAAGTTTATAGTTTTTTTTTAGTTTACAAACTTTTTACTAATCAAAAGTCTTAATTAGTTATGGTTTAACGTTTTGTTGCAATACACGTTCAAAATATTTCAGTAACTAACTACATTTTTAATGGGAGATAATTTAGTCCGGCCACACAAACTGCATTTCTTCTTGGAGAGCTCAGTAAAAGATTTTTGACAACTGGTTTTGGAGAAAAGTATGTCACCAGAAATATCATCACATATTTCCGTAAAACACTGACGTCATGTGGTGTGTAGCCCATTAGACAATTTTTACTGTCATAACAAGTTTTTCTGGGAAACATCTAAAAGTTCTTTATTGTCATTTTGAACATACTTTCACATTGGTCGTGTATCACTTAATATTTTAAATCCTAATTTTCTTCTATTTTTACGGATCCGTTAATTTCAAATAAAAAATAAGACTTGAAATATAGATTGACTGTATTTACACTGTATTTTTAATTTTTAAATTGGGTCGTAAATCAACATGATTTAAAATTCGATCTACAGTGCCACTATTTGGTATTGATTTGTTTAATATCCTATAGAATTAAAGCACTAAAAATTTCAAGACAGTGTTGTATATAAAAAATATAACATAGTTTTGACAGAATGATAGCGTAGCAATTAGCGACGCTGCATTCAATCTAATCCCACACTAAAGAAAATAACTTTATATGAAAGTAATTGTACAATGTCGGTGTTTGTTCATGTGTAATCCATATCACAAACAAACCTCTACGACACGGGAGAGAAACTTCAAAAGGATGACAACTGTTTTCTTAAATTATATTATTTAAATCAAACCCATTTGTTTACAGCAGCAGCAGGACCGGTTGGTTTCTGACAAGGTTAACGAATGGATAGTTTCAATATACTTTATTCAAATGCATACGTTTAGTTTAAATACATATTTGTGGTCACTGTTTATATATGCATAGCGCATCGTCATCCCAAGTTCCCGAGATGCGTGCTTGCGCTCACGACGCGCAAGTTAATTTCTAACCATTCACGAAAAGCTTTAAGTATGTATAATTTGGAGGCGATCGTGCCTTAAGCAATTAACACAGCACACATGTTGAACCAATATTCATAAAAAAAAACATGTTTCCATTTTGGTAGATATTACTATATATTATAGGTTCATCATTTAGGATCATATTTCGCTAAAATTAAAAAAAAGTAGAGGTGCTTTCCGCCATGCGTATACTCTGTTTTTTTTTATTTTAACACAAGTATCATTTCATTGGAGTAAACATGAAAAAGTAACATTAAAGTGTATATTATACGTTCGTCTGCTATCCACATGCCTCCCCTCACTTCAGTGAGTGTTATGAAGCAATTATAATCCATTAAATCTACTATCTAGTCATTACAATTGAAAAATCATATCCAGTTATAAAGAGATATCGATATCGACTCTTTAAATTTGTAGTAATTTACAGTTCTAACTGGAATAATACCAGAATAATTTAGAAACAGATAACTCAAAGCACAAAATTTATCAGATTTTTCATACTTATTGCTTATTGATAATTTATAGAAATAAAGTTATATAAATTAAAGACTGCAATAGATTGAAAATAATTTTATTTAATCACTTTCACTTTAATTAATTAAGTTGTCGTCGTCATCACCGTTGTTGAGATTAATTATTATTTCACTATCTATATTGCATTCAAAATGAATGTCTTTTTCATAACTGTCCATAACAATTTTTTTTGTTTTCTCCATCACTTCGGCCCAATCATTCCTTGTGTGATACTTGTATTTTCTACAAATCCTCCTCAGGTGGATCCCAATTAATTATTTATACCGGTAATATTTTTACCGGTAATTCGCATGAGCATGAATTTGAATTATCCTAATACTACGGTAATCCTAACGGTACGGTAATTTTAGTTAATTTTTTTACATTTATTTTGTTTGAAAGATTCGAATTTAAATTACTGATAAAGAACTATACATTTTGAAATGAAATATACATTGCTTCTTTGGATTTACGTAAAAGGTCATTTTAAATCTTGTAAGTATTAGTGAGTGGTATTTCTTAGATATGGTTGAGTATAGTCAGCCGATCTGCTTCGAAATATATTATTCTTTAGACATGTTTACTGACGATGTTTACCTTCACTACTTCAGTTGTCAGTACCATTGATGACGCCGGGAATTTAACCCAGGACGCTCGAGTACGAGCGCTTACTGATGAGCTATTGGGCTATGTGAGTTATCTTTTGTAAATAAAATAAATTCAAATGAAAACAAAATTTTCAACGTTAGAAATTAAAACTCTGTCAACTGTCAACATATTATTAATCTATTACCGTTTCAAAACAAAGTTTCTCGTTCGGTGAAGAAACGAAAAAGAGTTTCCGTAGGTTTCTTCTTCTTTATAATTTTTTAAATTTATAAAAATGAAAACGAATCGAACCATAGATAATAAACGCTTGTCCTTATTAAATTAAAAATAATTAATATTTTAATTACAAAACAATATGCAATATTAAAACAAATAATCGTCATCACGACCATGATTCAGACAGACAACACGATACAGACCGGTCTACAAGCAGCATCTGTTAACAAGTATGACGCCTTCGCCCTTCTCGACTATTTTTAAAGGGAGGTGGACGACCCGTCCCATGATGACGCCGCGCCGGTGCAAGCAAAACATTTAAGTGTGCATGTCATACCCGAGTATACCCATTACATAAGACTTTATCTATACATAAATTAATGACCGATGCATATTTTGCAACAACAATGATTAATACACATTTTGCAAAAATGGGGAGGTTCTAGAATCGTCTGTGTTCTTTTTTTTTTAGGTATATGTTGAGCGACATCTTTCCCTTTTTTTGTCAAGAACAGATTTTAATAATTCTTTTTTTATTTAACATATTTAGGGATCCTATATAAATTTACAAAAAAAAACCAGCCCTAAAAGTGGAAAATTAGGTAAAAACTTTTAGTATTAAGACGATATTCTAATTGTTACCCAAAGTTTATGATATTCCTTATTTAAATGGTTAATTTTTTTTAATACAAAGTAAAAATGTTTACAGTGAATCTCCTCATTTTAAAGTCTATCTCGTAGGGAACGATAGCTGACTCTCAATAGCTCGCTAAGCAACTTTGAGCTTCCTCATGCTGCTAACAGTAAAGCACTACGTCTTAGATTCATATGACAAAAAAACTGAAGGTAGGCTAACTATGTCATCGGGACGTCAAACATCTCAGTCCCTCCGTGACCATGGATGCTGTAAAGTACCCGAAACTTCGGAAATTAAAATAAGAAAATTAAACACGATACAATCCGTAAAAATAGTTTTATTGAATCCATATGACATCACCAACAACACGCACTGGTTCTCATTTTTAATGATTTCTTAAATTTTAAGAATTTTAAGTTTAAGTTGTACATAGGTGTATTTAGTTTCAATGTTTGATCTTTGTGCCAAAATGCATTGTTTCTGCAACCCTAACTGTGGATCTACCATGCATGCCATTTCTACCTTTGTGTATGATTAATACAAGTTTGCTTTTGTTTCAGACAATAAAAACAATTGACATGTGACGGTTAACTGCCAACTGACAATCAGTGCAATAGCGACTTCAGTGTAGTTGATGACAGATTAGTGTTGTGAAACTTTAAGATGCATACGATGGATACCATGGGGTACGGCCACAAAAAGTACCGGCCACCGATATCTCCCACGAGCTTCTACCACCATGACTACTATTCAAGGCACGCTACACTGCGCCCTCAAGTAAGTATAATAGATATTTATACATACTTTTACTGCGAACTACATATTATTATCTTTTTTACAAAGGTATCTATGATGAACGAGCATAGAGTATTAAAAATTTTAATTTAAATCTAAAAGTTCTAATCGTGAGGTCCTGTGTTCGATCCAGAGTCGGGCCTAATTCAGTTATTAGGGATTTTCTGTCAATAAATTCTCAGTAAGAACCCGAAGTGTTTCAAAGTGTTGTCAAGGGATTCTAAGTAAGAATCCCATTGTTTCGGAAATTCCGAAGCCTGATCTATCACCTGTCGCGTTTAATCACTGTCCTTTGACACCTGTGCTTGTGCATACACTTGAGCACTATAAAACCCGGTAATAGTATGAGTAAAAACTTATGTATAATCATAGCATAGCCAACCTTCACACAGTAAGAACATAATACTGTCATTTTTTCATATTATGTGAAGATTAGAGGTTGTTCGTCCCGTCTGGTGTTGAACACGACGGCAACTTCAAATTATTAAGACTATGAAATGCGCAAGAAATACAAAGACTTGTTAAGGGCAATCCACAACACGACCAAACCCGGAAGTCGACAGTTTTTTGTTTATTATAGATATTATAGATTAGAGGTACTGCCTTACAGCTTGTCCAAAGCAGTATGCGCTACATAGTTATTAGAGTATTATATAATTGGAAGATCAAAAGCATCATTGAGGCTCAGAGCCGTGAACCAGTCCCGTTAACCGCGATAGCCACACTGCCCGTCGAACGGTACATGACAATACTCGTTAAATTGAATCAAAGCGCCGGTCTACAACTTTTTTAAGAGAATACGAATAGAATTCGAGCTTTAGAAATCGAGTCGTCAAGATACGTCGTCTTATTATATAAAAAAAATGCTTCAAAATTTTAAATTATTTCCTCTAACTAACTAACTATTGTACTCGTAGCCCTGCTCTGAGCTTCCCATTATTAAGTCGTCCAAGAATAGGTCTTCTCCTAAAGCTTACAGTTTAACAGAACGATATTTATTGACAGTCAGTGCGCAAAGACAATGTTTCAACACATAAATTCATGGTATTAATTATTAATAACAAATTACTCATGCTATGAGACAAAACATTTTGTAGAAGTAGCTGCATGGTTCTACTGCGCAACGTTATGTAATGTTTTATAATTTCAATTTATACGTGGTATAACTATAGCTCTACTACAACTATACTATACTACTACAACTATAAAATAGCTATATATCTATAGCTGCAGTATACTACACTATATTAGCTATGTTATAATTGTAGTACGAATGGGTTGGCTTAACCGGGGAAGGACCACGCTCGCACAGAATTTTCACAACAGCTTAATACCGCTGTGTTTCGTATGATGAATGTACAGATCTAGAAACCCTTTTAACTGGGAACGAGGCGTTCTATCTTAGTTCTCAAGAGTGACAAAGCATCTTTATTTTGATTCTTAATAGAGGATAGATGTAAATGTCTCAGGGCTACAGCATCCACTTACCATCAGATGTGTGCTCGTCAGGTATATCTCAAAACTTGACAACGAGATTGTACAACCGGTGCGTGTTGTCAGTGATGATTTATGGATCTGAGACTTGGTCCTTCATTGCTGGCCGTATGAAGACGCCCATGGTCGTTCAATGACCTGTGGAGAGGGTTATGCTCGGGGTTTCTCTGCATGATAAACTTTGAAATGAGGATATCTGCAGTATAACCAGAGTGACCGATATAGCCCAACGGATTAGTAAGCTAAAGTGGCAATGCGCCAGCCATATAGCTCGCAGTACCGACAACCGATAGGTAGAAAAGTGAGTGACAGATGAGAGTAGCAGCCCCGTACCGATAGGCGACGTGTAGGGTGACGACGACTAAATAGAGTAACAACCTGGTCAAACAGGCAGGAAGTCGCTGGATGCAGGTGGCAGGTTCAATTCCTTGAAAGTCTATATTCACAGTGGACTTGTGAAGGGCTGTGATGATGATGATAATGATGATGATGAGGATGTGTGCTCGTTTTTCATCCTCATCGTATAAAAAATTATAGCTGTGCTACATGTCGATATGCCATGTTTACTAACTGCGATCGGGCTATACTATGTGTACGTTATGTTATATTTTAGTGGAAACATGTATCCACTGCATAACGTTATGTCATATTCAGCATTCAGTGGTAGCATTGCTCCACAGCACAGCGTACAATTTTTTTGTGTATTTATGTTTTCTTCTTTTAGCACAGCTATACTGCGCTAAGCTATGTTCTCTAGTACAAGCATGACTCTACCACATAATGGCATATTTTCTAATGGCAGCACGGCTCTAATGTGTTATGCCATGTTTTTCTAATTGCAATATGGCTATTCAAGGTCACCTTATGCTTATTTCATATTTTAATGACAGCATGGTACCCAAGCATAGAGTTATATTGATGTATTTATATACCTTTCAGTCAGCATGGTTGTGTTTTCTAGTTGCAGCATTACGCATTACCAGTACGTCTCTACCAAGTAATATTATTGGAGTATAAAAATATTGCTGCGAAAGAGACCCGCGAATTCACAAGTCCTCAAAATATTCAGTTTCCACACATACACACAATGTGTGTTCGAGCGCTCGAATTACTCGCAAAATTTGAAATGTATGTAGAACGACTTAACACTGAATAGCTATGATCATCACAGCTTGTAGTCTAAATGTCATTATTGCTTACTTTACAAAATTTGTACTTTTTGAACAGCACAATTTTAATTTTAAAAACACTACATAAAAATAAATAAACTCTGTAGTTAGAGGTTTTAAAAACCATAATGCTTAGATTTATATTCTATGTAAAAGCAGTGCTTCCAAAGCGTTTGCTTCCTTACGTACTTACTACGTGAACTGGCCACCGAAACGCAACATCTGAATAAATTTGAAATTTAATAGTAGTTTTCAGTAGCGGGTATAATTGTTTAAAGAATTCGTGAACAATCTCGTGCTATGAGAGACCCGGTAGTCATGTCGACTCGTGTATTCATTAACAGCTAATTGTGTTTTATTCGTAATTTGAATTTGGTAGATTTGATGAATGACGTGAGGAACCGATAATTGGTACAATTATTTGAGCGGGCTATCGATGATTTGGCCTCAGGCGTCGGTCACTAGTTGACGGCCGACCGTTAGATAGCCGACTCTTGATCTTCGACGATCGATATTAACTTACCACTTGCATTGATAACTTTGTATTTATCTTAACAAATTACAATAAGTATGTAGTATTTTAGCAAGTCATATTTTAGAGCATTATCAAAGATTATGATATTTTTTTAAATTTTATTTATGCTTCGAAAATCATGTCGATTAGCAAAAAAACGACATTGTGGAAAACGGCTATGGATACAAGTTTGCTACCTATACAATAATTATTTCTATGTTAATGCTTTCATCATCCTTACAGCATTTATAAGTCCACTGCTGAACATAGACCCTCACCAAAGAATAACACAAAGTACGGTTCCGAGCTATTTGCATCCATCGATTACCTGAGCACGTAGACGCGGCTCAGAACGGAAATCAGTCTGTAATTCTTCAACAGGGTTTTGTCACATTTCTTGAAGAATAAAACGACCACACTTCTACCTGATATTTTAATAGAATTAGGGTGACAAACGAGCACACAGTCCACCTGATGATAAGTGGATGCTGTGGCCCATAGACATCATCTACATTTAACCTCGATTAAGATTCAAAATGCAGATGCGTTATCACACTGAGGACTAAGACGGAATGCCTCAATTCCAGTCAAACGGGTCTCCAGTTCTATACACTCACCATACAAAACACAGCAGCATCAAACTGCTATTTTACGCTGGTGTTCTGTGAGAGCGTGATCCTTTCCCGGTGGAGCCGACTCTTTCGTGCTACAACCATAATATAGCTTTAGCGTGGCTCTACGACGTATAAATATACTAAATCATTTACATTACGATTACATTTACTTGTTATGTGCTTAAAAACTAATAACTTTATAAATAATTATGCAGAATTTCTAAAGCCCATAACGTAACCAATAAAACGTTACCTTACATAACACACATAAGTTACCATAAACGTACATCTTTACACATATACTCATATTTATACAAGGTTGCACGTAAGATAAACGTAATAAACATAATATAAAGGGAATTATGATGTTGCAAAAAAATCCAGTTTTAAAAAAATATTGTACATCATTATGTATTCTGTAACAAAATATTTATAACTACAATAAATAAATTATTCATTAGTGAATAATTTGATGTCCTATCCCTTTTGGCAGTCGATTAAATACAGTGCATAAATAGCGTCAAAAGAGTCATTGCTTGCTCGAGTGCCGACGCTTCGTTCAGTGAGTTGTTTAACGGTGTCGCTACAACTCGGGCACTGGACTTAGAAGATGGAAATTATGATAATGTAGATATGAAATGTTTCAAATGGCGCCTCCCGTCCTGTTGTCATAATATATATTATGTTGTCATATATAATATTCGTAGCTACACTTTTATATAATGTTCTTTATCTAGCCGTATGTACTTAAAATCTTACTTTACATATCACAGAATAATCACAAATAAAGCTTACAAGCAGTAAGCTAAGCTAAATGGAATAACTAAGCGTAAAGAGCGTAGGTATTTTTAATCTTTTAATTATTCTTAACTCCGTTTCCTAGTAAAGATGGCAAAAATAACCTTTATTAAGTATACGAGAATTAAAATAAGCGATTGTCTATTGTTTCATAGTCAAAAGATACCATCTAAATCATCCAATTTAAATAATGGTACCTACCTACGTATGTGTAAATTGAGTCCTAACGGGATTTCAATAAATGGAGCTCGTAGACCGAATCGAATCATTCGGATTCTCCGTAGTATGGTAACAAGGATAATGATGTAACTGTGCGCACACGAGCGGAGCCGGGCGGCACGCAGTCTTTTGCCACACTTCAGCGTCAAAAAACCTAGGAAGCTTACCCGTGAT